TCTCCAGGCCAAACAGTCTCAACTCTCCCAGCTTTTCTTCCTATGAGGAAAGTCCCTTAATCACCTTAGTGGCCCCTCTTCAGTAACTCCACCTCTCACGCTGGGGGGCTCAGAACTGGACACTGCACTCCAGATGTGGCCTCACAGTGCTGAGTGAAGGGAAGCTGTTGAAGCTCAAGTAACCTTGATGGGACAGCAGTGGATGCTGTTCATCTCTGCATTGATAAGGCTTTTAACAACATCTACCATCACATACTCACACAAGCTGATGAGCTACCAGCTAAAGCAGTGGACAGTGAGGTGGACAGAAACCTGGCTGCACTGCTGGATTCCAGAGGTTGTGGTGAATGGCAGGAAGCTAGCTGGAGGCCAGTCACACCAGCAGAGCCCAGGGATTAGTACTGGGACTAACACTGATTATCATCCTCACTGATGACTTGAGCACTGGGACAAAGTAGACATACAGTTCCACAAATTATATAATTGCATACATCAGTTCATTTGAATTACCTAGAGGCAAACCTGTAAAAATAAATCTTTCAGAAGTCCTTGTCAGAAATATTTAAATGCAAAAGTTGCTAAATGCAAAATCTCCTTCTCTCAGTTCTTGAGGTTATTATATGGCTACATCTATAAACTGTCATCAAATAAAGATAACCAAGCACCTCCAACACTGGCCACAAAGACAGCCCCCAGATGACCTGTCAAGGGCAGGAAACAGCCTGTACCTCATGCTTGGTTGGCACCAACCCCTTCCCACAAAGTAACTCATCTTTTCTTAGCTTGGCATGAGAATGGGCACACCAGGCAAGACCAGCATACAGGAAGTCCTGGACCAGCAATACAGGTCCTATGGAAGTAGAAATCCACACACCACATCCTCTTCCTACTCTGCTGAAACATTACTTGAAAACTTTGGGCACTAGTGCTATAAAGCATTAAAGACAAAGCAAGATTAACTAAGAAATACAGGCAGCATTTGTAATGTAAGAGACTTAGCTTTATTGAAATGATTCCATCATTATTTATCATATTCTAAAATACATACAAACATATAAAAAGGACAATCTACAAACTGATCTGCATGCAAAAGGCTAGAATCAGATAGCTAACACAGGAGCCCCAGAGACTGACTCCCCTCCTTTCGGTGCAGGTTATCACACTCTTAACAGAAACAATAAAAAAGGAACTGAATAGAACTGACAGACTTTACAGCCTATCTTCAATTACAAAAACAATTTTGGTCTACATTAAAACACTAGTTGAAAACCGTATGTTCAAACACTGCTGTAGGCACTTCCAGGACAGGTTAGCCAATTCCTCCAGATATACTGGGAATATACCCAAGAATAAAATAAGTCAACTAATCTGTCATCCCCCAGTACCTAACAGACTTTACCATCAGGCTCAGAAAATCCTTCTGAAAAGTAAAACAATATCTCTCAAGTTACAAGTTATATTGTATTTTGATTCCTAATAGGATATTAGCAGTACATTCTCAGAAACATGTCTTTTCCTTTACTTCTGCTTTATGTATTACCTACATCTGGCCAGCTTCACAGCCTGTAAACACCAGCACAAGAGATAAAACTGATCTCAAGCACAGTCATTCACACCTCTGCATGATGCAGCCCAGGTTAGATATACAGGTGGAAGCCTCCTGCAGTGACAGGTCTGCTGCTTTGGCCTGGTCACAGAACCCAGAACTGAAATGAAAGAATACAGCTCTAATTCTTCCTTATTTCAAAGAAAGAAAAAGGATTAACAGACTACCTGAACAGTATGGGAAGTGGTAAAGGAAGGGCAGGAATAGATGGAGCAACTGGAATAGTCATTTGTTAGAAGAGATGCAAGCAAGAGGCAATGTAGGGCAGAGCAGCTAAAAACAGAAAAAGGGAGCAAAGAAGGTTAAAGCAGAGGAAGGGCAAGACCAAAAATGCAAATCAATGTTAAAATACGCTTGGGTATGAAGTCACCTCTTCACTGCTACAAACACAAGCCTAGCTCCAAATACACAAGACTAAGGCCAGACAACACTAATGGGCCATTTTTATGGAACAATGAAGAGCCCCTGCTGCACTTTTAGTTTTGAAAGGTTCTTTCTCATATTTCACATAACAGCCTAAGTTAAAAACATTATTAGTCATCTAAAGCCAAATCTAGGAAGCTGAAGTGTCTCTAACAAGTTCTTTGGCAAAGGATGGTCAGAATCAAATAATTCCCTTTACTATAAACAGCTGCACCACCACAGGTGCATCAACCATGAGCACAAACCTAAAGCATTGGGAAAAGAGGAAAGACTGAACCACTGCAGCATGCACTGCATGCATCTAACTCTGCAAAGAACAAACTGCTAATCCCATTACAGTGTAAGGTTAAGGAAAGAATGATGGTGATAGTGGTGACTGTGTTACTGGGAAGAAGCAAATCTACAGAATACTATCAAAAGAAGCTACTAAAATTAGCTAAACATTTGTTTGATGCACTTACAAAAAACACCAAGTACAACAAATTTAGCTAATTGTCGGGAATCAAATTCCAAAAGACATTTATTCTTATAATTAGAATCAAAGAAAACATGTCTTGACAGTATTCTGATTACAAATGCTTGAGGTGGTACTAATCTATTAAAAAAAGGAAATCCTGTCATTTTGACATTATCTCCCTCCCCACCCAGCTGAACCTAGCTAGATACTAAGCACAAGACTGCCTCATGCATTAAATATAAACCTCTGGTAAGAAATTATTAATTTGAAGGTAGCACAAAATGCTGAAAGGCAAAAAAAAAAAGTCTATATCCAACAAAACAGCTCAAAAAAAGTATGTATTTCTTAATTCACTTCTATCAGCTTGTTAATTTGGAACTATTACATTATTTACCATAGGTTTGTCCCCATAACCCTTGAGCTCCCATTAAAGCTTTCTTAAGCAGATGGAGTGCTTCTTCCTATCAACACCTGACTGATCTTTCTAGGGAAGATAGTTTACTAACTATCCACAGGAAACAAGCTCTTACCTCCCTTGCCTCTCTCTTGAATCAGATCCTCAGACAGCTATTTGACCAGAAAAGAAGAAATACTTACTCTTTGATGAAAAGAAGCTGATAAACTCTACCAATTTACCAACCCACTTTTGTAATTTTATTAATTTGCTTGAATTTTGCTCCTCCTGAATACTCCCACAAACTTTTTTTTCCTAATTCCTTTAGAGCAGAATTAATTAAAAACCCTTATGTACTGTCTTTATCTGCAAGTTCCTAAATAATGTTCTTGATTTAGAAAATATTAACCTCACTTTATATAACTCCTAATTGAGAATAAAGCAAGCCACCCTGACTTCAGCCATCAGTAGGGCAGACTTAACAGAACCACCCAGGCTTCCAAAAGGTTAAACCACAGGCATCATGAGGTCTCATGCACTGAGCACTAAGCCCACTATAGAAAAGATACAGACCCCTTAAGACCTCCAGTACCCTTAAAGTGCCTTTTTTTTCAAAGAGCAACCACTACATACTCACTTGCTGGGAACTACACAATTTATCTACATAACCAGCACCACTAAGATGAAGTATTACACAGATACAGTAGACACATCTAAATAGATTTATTACAAAGAAAATATCACCAAGATGTATACTTTTCCATACAGAGAGGCATAAAGCAGTCTATTTTTAATTTCTGTACCATACTTAAATCAGAATTCTATTTCAAGGCACATCTGACTTCAGCAACAGATCAGGCCATCTCTGGAAACAGTGATATACAGATTACAAATGATTTCGGGGCTTGTGGCATTTCTCCCCCCAACTGCCTAAATCTATTTCTCAGCACACAATGTCAAGAATGTGTTTTCAACTCTTCTGCAAGATATACTTCAATCCCTGCTAAACATAACTGAAAACTTTACTAAGGCACAAGCCAGCAGGCTAGAATCTCTACCATATTAAGTTACTTGAGTGAAAATATCAGGAAGCCACCCCCGCCTTTGAGCCCATCATGCCTTTCCTGCCCACAACTTGTACACTGGCTTACTATTTTGTACCAGGAACCTGATAGTGGACATACAGAATGCCACAGTTGTTTTTTACTCACCTACAAAATGCTTATGTTTCACTTGACAGTTATGGGATTACAACAACTGAAGGCAGAAAACACTTGCAAGACATTAAGCTAACATTGTAGCAGCTTTCAGAGAACAAAGCTGTCACTTGAATAGACAGGTGCCTACATTACATGCTCTTAGAAGGGACAATCTACCTTCAGCTTGATCTCAGGAGCAAGCTTAGGTTCCAAGGACAAGTCCATCCAGAAGAGCAAATACCAAGCTTGGGGCAAGAGCAGCTTTGAACCATGAGGGACAACTTCCAAAGGGAAGAACTGAGCTATTCTGATAGCTGAATGTAGGGTAAAAAACTGCATGCCAAATTCAAAATTTAGGAATTTGCTAAGAACTGAAGGCAAAGCACAGCCTCAGCTCAAGCAACTCTAACCAAGTGTTGCTGGGTAAGGAAGAGGAGGAAGAGTTCATGGGACAGGCAGCTGTTGTAGCAAGAGGGGAAGGCTAAAATAGCGAGGCTGTTTCAGGAGTAACGCCCCTGTCAATACACAGTTTACGATTTATTCTAATTTTAACTCCCCCTCTTTTTTTTTTTTTCCCCTCCGAAGATTTAACCCTTTTGCTAAAGCAGGCTGCAGACGGGGTGAGAAAGGAAAGAAACCAGAGCACTCTTCTCCAGCCAGAGGAGGGCTCTGAGGAGCCACACACCCGCAGAGACGCCCCTGAGCCAGACCCCCAGAGCGGGGGGCAAGGGAGGCTCCATGGGAAACTGAAGCAGGAGCAGGGAGCATTCAAACCGCACCACATATTATAAAAAAAAAACCTAAAAAATAACTACATCATGAGGAAAGCCGTTTTAAGCCATTTGCTTTACTCTCGTTTCTGTCAGCCTCTCGAGGGGGGATGGGGCAAGGGGAAAACGCCAGTGTCGCCGCCTCGCTCACCAGAAACCCGCGCAGGCCGGGCTGGAACGAACCCGCCCAGGCGGACCCGGGGACGCGCCAGCCCCTTCGGCCGGGCGGCGGGAGAGGGAAAGGCCGGGGCGGGCCCTGACGGAGAATGCGGCTCCCGGGGGAAGGAGGCCCGGACCAGCCCGCACCGGCCACGCGGAGGAAGGCAGGGGCGGCGAGGCCCGCGGGGCGCGCCCCGGGGCGGCGGGAGGGGGTGTCCGGAAAGAGCGGCGCCTCCTGCGGGGAAGGAGGCGGCGGAGCGGGGCGAGCCCACGCCGCCCGGAGGCTTGAGAGGAAGGGCCCGTGCCGCGCCGGAGCGGGGGGCTGAGGCAGGGGAGGGGGCCCGGGCAGGCCCCGCCTTACCTCCCGCCAGCGGCCGCTCCTGCCTGGCCCGAGGGAGCGGCGCACCCGAGCCCGCGCCGGACGCCGCTGCCCGCGGTGGGGAGGCGCTGGCTCCGCCCGGCCCCGCCCCCTCCTGCGCCCCCTGCCGCCATTGGCCGAGCTGCCGCCCGCCGGAAGGCCCCGCCCCTCCCGCTCCCGTGGCGGCCAATCCTTTCGCGGCCGGCCTCAGCAAGGGCACGGCAGCGCGCCCATTGGCTGTCATTCAGTCCCTGTCGGCCGGCTTTCAGGTTTCTATTGGTTTCTGTGGCGCGCAATCTTTCCCTTCAGCGTTTCGATTGGTCCGCTACCGGAGTACGGCAGCGCGTCGGTCTCCTGCCGCGGCTCCGCAGCCGCTGACGAAGTCGGGATTGGGCGGGAGGCCGAGGGGGCGCCGCCGCTTCCCATTGGCGGGACCTCCGTCCTCGCGCGCTACGCCCTTGCGACGTGATGACGCAGCGCGCGGCCTGGCCTGGCTCCCAAGATGGCGGCGCGCAGGGCGCGGAGGCCGCGCTGTCGCTGAGAGGCCCCGGCTCCGGTGCGGCTCCCGCTCCCCGCGAGCCCTGTGAGTGCGCGGGGCCCGCCCGGGCCGCCCGCCGGCGACAGCCGCCGCCTGGGGAAGGGGGGAAGGGAGCGGGGAGGCCGGGGTGGGGAGCGAGCGCCTCCCCGGGCACCGTCAGCCCCGTCAGGGGCGGGCGGGCGGGTTTGAGGCGGTGTGAGCATCCCCGGCAGGGCTGGGGCGGAGCCGCCGGCGGTGGGTTCGTCTCAGGTAACGTATGAAAAAGCCGCGATCGAGCTCTGGAACTCTCCGCCACTTTAATGGGGTGCGTAAAAAGGCAGGGGAAACTTATTATTTCCGGGAGTTGCGGTCCGGGTTGGGACGTTTAAGATGGTTCATTTAAGGTGTTTGCGGGTGATAATTTTCATTCCTGGTTCCGTTTTCGGAAATGCATTCGCTTCTTTATAGAAACAGATCTTGTCGCTTCAGGCGCTTTTGGTGTTGGTTGGTTTTTAAGCGCTGTAGAAGTTAGAAAGCAAAATGTCTTGTAAGGAAGAAGGATCGTTACAGTTATAAAAAATAGCACCTTTCTAGTAAATGTGATGGGAATGTGTGGTCGTGGCCTGGCGCGCTTTTCTTGATTCTGGAAATAGTTTTTAGTAGCCATTTACTTTTTCTTGTGGCAGAGTTTAGATCTGTCTGTGACCGATACCACGAGTTGTGAAGGTGATTCCAAAACCACCGTGAGGCAAAGACAGTTTCCTTTATTCTGAAAAACAGAAACTTTTTGAAGGTGAGCGAGGCGCCGATTGTAGGCATCGTTCTGTGGCTGTTCACGTGATCTTCCTTCCGTTTTCGGAAGGGAAACGTCTCGAAAAAGTGATTTTAAGAGTTTTAAGTTTATGTCTTCCTGTGACTGTCTTGCGTAGAGCGAATATATTGCATCATACGTTAATGACTGTCTGTTATGCAAACCTTTGCAGGTGACTGCAGTAATCTGTGAGTAGTGTCTGGACTTAGTTGAATTGGAGTAAGAGCAGGTTTATGCTTGAAAGAAATAAACACAGCGAATGCTCATGCTTTAAGCTGAGGCATGGCTGAGCGTCTGTTATAATTCAAACGCAGAAAGGTGCCTGCAGAGCTTTGTGATCTGCATCTCTGTACACAAAGTGCTGGTAAACACAGGCAAGGAGGAGACTCTTGGGCTGTATTCGGTTGCCTTGTTTGGGGGATGGTTTTGGATGCTGCCTTACTTTATAAACTCACATCTCGGTTGTCTCAATCTTGGTATGGGAAGGAACACTGATACATTTTTTTTCTTTAAGTAATGCAAGTACAGGTCACTTTTCAAAGCTCCTGCCAAGTGGTTGCTGCTCGGGCTATCCCTGGGAGCAGGCAGGTATTAAGAGACCGTTCAGGCTCGCCTCACCAGGGCCTTTCCTATAGTCAGCTAATCCCCCTAGCTTTCCAAATCTTTCTACAGCCATCACTGAATTGTTTTTTCCTAGTTTTATTGACAATGTAGATGAAAGTTGTTCTACTAGGAAATAGCAGATATTGTTGGAGATGTATTCTTGAAGTTTCGTTATTAAACAGGTAATAGCAATATGGCTTTTTCTTTGGTTGTATTTGCAATATATGAGGAGGATAAAGGCAAAGTTCTTTGTTACTTGTCTTTGAGCATAGGAAAAAGTTCTTTCCAACAGGCAAGGCTAAGTACTATTCTTCTTTACACTTCTTTGAGCAGGAATTTCAGAAGACAGTTCTCTCTATTTTAAAAGAATGCCTTTTTTCTTTTCTTCAAGGTCCTGAAGTGACTCTCTGAAGACTTCGTTTTTGAAAATTTAAACAGCAAAGACAATTCTGTTTTAATAAATGAAGGAGAATAAAGAAAATTCCAGCCCTTCTCTAAACTTGGCAAACCTGGACCATACAAAGCCATGCTGGTACTGGGATAAGAAAGATTTGGCACACACACCATCACAGCTTGAAGGGCTTGATCCAGCTACAGAGGCACGATACCGCAGGGAAGGAGCCAGATTCATATTCGATGTGGGAACACGTTTAGGGCTGTATCCTTTACACTCGTGTTGGTATGAATGTCTTTATGAATAGTGAGTTTTCAGAATAAAATATGCAACAAATGTGACATGCTCAGTTGTTCAGATGTTTAATTGCTAATCAAAAATATATTTGTGTTGAAGTGCCTTTTGATGTAATGTGTTCGTACACAATTTCTATCCATTCATTGAATAAACAAGGTTCCAATTTGGAAGTAAGATGATACAAACTTTCCAATTAAGAGTAACTTCTGTGAGTTATGAAACTGTTTCAGTATATGAATCTACATGACTTCTCAAATTTTGAATTTTCTAGATTGTGCCTTTGAGGCTTCTAACCTCTGCCTCCCCAGTCTTGGTCTTTGGTGGCTGTTTTTTTGTTTTGTTTGTTTAGGATTTACAACTGTGTATAAGTTCTCCAGACTGTACTACTCCCTCATAGGCAGCCACTTAAATTTTCTGCTTCCTATATTCCTATGCTTCCTTTAATCTCCTTGGTTCTTTCTTTAATAAAGCACGGTGAAGACAAATTTTTTACTTGTCTTAAAGTGAAGAGTACGGAGCATGTTCAGATTTTATTTGCATTTGTAGGTGTGGATAGTAACTTTCCTCCATGCCAGCCCTTGAATGTGAAGTGATAATTGTTCTGTTCCTTCGTGTACCTACTGCTGGATTTCACCTTCTCCGAGGCAGGTATGGTGAAACACAGGGTGACCTTATGTGCATCCTTTTGTAAATACAGTCAGGACTTTGCACACTTACAACAAATGCTTTAGATATCAGCTGCATCTGGGCCTCATCATAGTATTTGCACAGCTTTAAGGGCTTTTGTGTTTTTGGGTTTTTTTCTAAAGCTCCTGTTTTACTTGCAGTGTTTTCTAACTGGTCACTGAACAGCCAGTTATGTGAAGTACTTGATAAAGTAGAATCTGTTGTGCATATTTGGTTTTAAATTTGTTTTATGTGCTGTTTGAAAGTCCTTAATCTGCACCACAGACATTATGACACTCTAGCAACTGGAATAATTTATTTCCATCGGTTTTATATGTTTCATTCCTTCAAACAGTTCCCAAGATATGTAAGTATTTAGAATATTGATGACTTAGTTTAATGATTGCACTAGGCAGGGACTATTTGAAATGGTGATTAGTCACTTGGGTACTACTACTGCTGTTCACTACAGAAAGATGGAAAATTACATTTTGTCTTTTAATTATTACAGCTTAAAATTCGTTGTTCTTGCCTGTTTATACATTTCTGTTTATGCTCAGAAATGCATTGACATTGCAGTTATGACTTGCTGATATTGTTCTTTAGGAGTAGCAGCTATAGTGCTGGCACTTCTGTATTAGCTGAAAAAGAACTTACATACAGTTTTAAAACTGCTTGACAGACTACATTGAGCTGGGACAAATTGTGCTTTGGGTTTCTGACCTTGAAATGAAGTTGTATAAAATAGACAGTCTTCCACATTCTGTGTATTTCCTCTGAAAAAATAAAAGTTTAACACTATATTAAAATAGAAATTAGTATGCTCATTAAGTCTTTCCTGAGAGACTTCTGCAGTACTGTTAATGGATACTGACAGTGCTTTTCTAATGCTGCACTCCATTGCATATCTACATGCAGACCACTTTTTGAAAGTACTTGCCTTTTTTAGGTGACAGGAGCCTGCTGCCTCTTCCTAGCAGGAAAGGTTGAAGAAACACCCAAGAAATGTAAAGACATAATTAAAACAGCTCGTAGCTTGCTAAATGATGTACAGTTTGGACAGTTTGGAGATGACCCAAAGGTAAAAATACTCATGTTGAAATTGATTTCTTCCTGTTGTACTGTAGTAAAGTGACACACACTCAATAGAGCATTGACTGATTTTCAGTTGTTCTAAATTAAATTAGATGTTCAGCATACATTTATTGCTCTTCTGGGTAATGTGATTGGTAGCAATGAAAGTAATTCTTCCTAATAAAAATAGCTTTGGGAGTTTACTGGGATAATTGTTTTCATTAAAAGTTTGCATTTTATTTCATGTAAATTCTGATATTATTTTGCAATTTAAAGTAAATTTGAGTAATTTCAGCCAGAGCAAGAAATGTTACCAAGACATAATCCATAAATCATCTGAATGGGATTTTAGGAAGTAATTAATAGTGAATCTTAAATAAGAGAACTAGATCTCAAAAGTATTGAGAAGTTTCTTGTTTACAGCATTGTCTTAGCAAAACTATGTTTCTCTTAAAATTTGTTTATTTTAAATAGCAGAAGGACTTGAAACTTTTGAGTGAGATGTGGTAGAGCTTTTTGTTGTGATTGTGTGTCTGGCATTTTCATGCTGTGTCTGGTTCAATTCATTCCTCTGCAGAGGAATAGGGATTTTAAACATCACATCCCCTGTCTTCACTCAAACAAATGTGAAGAAAAGGTATCTGAGTTTAAAATAGTATTTTAAGTTGGAGAGCTTTCTGTACTCCTTGAAGACAGACATGGCTTCCTGGAGGTGCTGTGAAGTCATGCCCTATACTAGCATAAAATATTTTTGAGTGAAAGAAGAAATAATACTGTGGTTACCTTGTAACTCTCTATAGGAAGAAGTGATGGTACTTGAAAGAATCTTACTACAAACAATAAAGTTTGATTTGCAAGTGGAACATCCATACCAATTTCTTCTCAAGTATGCCAAACAACTCAAAGGTAAAATATTGGCAGGGTGAGCAAGTAATGCCTGTCATTGATTTCCAGAACTTAATATATTAATAGTGCAAGAATATTCTACTTCCAGCTGTTTGTCCCTCCCAATTTTATGTCCTAATTTTTTTCTGTTTGTTTTTCAGGAGACAAAAATAAAATTCAAAAACTGGTTCAAATGGCATGGACATTTGTCAATGACAGGTAAGATACACCTAGGAAATATTCTCAAAGTGAAATAGTTACTGTTGCTTAATTTGTTCTGTTATTGGATATTTTTTTGACAAATATTCAATTTTTTTTCTGCTTATTACATGTTTTCATGTCATGTGCCTCAGTTTTTCTTTCCATCATTACCATGATAGTTTCATTGAGCACAGAATCTGGAGTGAGTTTGAAGTAGACCAGTAAGACCTCTGCAGTATTGTGGCACTAACTTAGTGCTGCATTAAAAAGAAACTTACTGTTTGAAAGGGCCAAACCAAATTCCCAATCCCCAGGATACAAACCAGCTTCTTGCCAAGTCTGTGATACATGGTGCATTCTGAAAAAAATAACTCACTTCTCAATTCCATCAATATTTTTAATGTGATATTTTGGTAGTAGTGAAGTAGCCGTTAAATTCACTGAGGAATACAGTTTTTAGCACTGGATTTACAATTTCTTGAATAATGAACTTGTAAGAATCACATCAATTAATGGGAGTGCATGTAAAAGCATTTCTCATGTGATATTGAAAAAAAAAAACCAAAACAACTTGACATGCTTTAGTCTTGTCCAGGAGGATTCTACAGAGCTGGGCAAGTTAATTTATTAAGGACTTGAATATTACTTTCTGTTTCCATAGCAAACCCATAAGAAAATATCTTAAGTGGTCTGACTGTCCAGAAATTGGGAATACATGGCTTTCACTCATGCCTACAGCAGCAGAACATTATAAGAAAGAGGTGTTTTTTTAATCATATGCCTGATTTGAATTAGCCTTGTGTGGGTTCAGATTTTGTAAACTCTCCAAATTAATTTGACCAAAATTAATGTGGATCTCAAGAGATGTTTACTTCAGCTGCTGAGAGTCTTGCAGATTATGGTCATAGAGGTAGAACAAAATTATGGCATAACTGTCACTTTTAAGCCTGTCAAAGTACTGTAATTTATCCATCAAAGTTTGGGCACCATTGTACTTGGAATTAGGTAGCGTTTAATATTTAAAAAACCTAACAATTAAAATGCACTTCAGGAAAACACTTGTATGAAGTTGGAGGAGTTGTTTCAAATCATGCATAATAATTACCTCTGTTCTGAGGAGGCTATATTGTGCTTAGTTAATAAGCACCATATTAGCAGTTTACTTTGTTTATAGGATCCTGGGAAAATAATTCTGTGCTTTGCACTACAGGCCTTTAGAATAAAGGGTTCTGCTCTTACACAGCCACAGGAATTCATGGACATTCAGCTGGCTGGCTGGATTTAAAATTCTGTAAGCAGATTATATGCTACAGAATCTATGGAGAAAAGAGAGAAAAATATTTCACAATTTAAAATTTATATCAGGAAATAATCAAATTGATTATGACAGGAACTTAGTTAATATCAATATTACAAATAACATCAATTGTTTTAGCATTACCTTTAACAAAGGCCATTCAGGAGATAACCTTTTATATATTGATCTAAAACTTGTGCTTGACAAGTTGCTTTACAAGTTTGTGTTGGCTGTTCTGTATGGTTTTTTTGGGGGTTTGTTTAGTATTTGTTTACATTTTATTGACAAACATTTGGAAGCTCTGAAATCTGATTTGGGACCTGATTTCATGACAGTGGTAGTCCAGAAATAGTTTAGCTTTGTAAACTCTTTCGTTTAACAAGGCTCTCGATTAAAATTGCCTGAGAAGTTAGAATTGTGGTGGGATTTTATACCCTGTTAATTATAGCTGCTGTACTTTAGAGTGCACTTGGACAATCAGGTAATCTCCAGGGTTGTGTTTTGCTTGGTTTATTTTCTGTTGCAGCCTCTGCACTACACTGTCCCTGCAGTGGGAGCCTGAGATCATAGCTGTTGCAGTTATGTACTTAGCAGGCCGTTTGTGTAAGTTTGAAATACAGGAATGGACATCAAAACCAATGTACAGACGATGGTGGGAGCAGTTTGTCCAAGATGTTCCCGTTGATGTTTTGGAAGGTATGAAAACCATTTCCTACAACATCTCTTGTAACTGTGTGGCCTAGGTCATAAATAAATGCAAATAGCATTTTATCTAGGTTTCAGTCAAAATAATCTTGTGTCAAGTATGTAACTCAGCTTGTATGTGCTGTGCCCTAATCAGGTTTTAAATTGAACTGGCTTAGCTTAGGAGCATATTTAATCATCATGATTAGTCTTTTGTTCAATGTTTGCTTTACAGTTTGTTTAGTTTATAACACATCCAATTAGCCTGAATTGTCATGATGTGTTTTCTATTTTTTTTAATTATTATCTACTCCCCATTTTAAGTAAGTGTTCTACAAACAGTGGAACTAATGGAGCCTGACTTCCAGCAGTTTTCCCATTGATAATTGTTCTCTTTTACCAAATTTTGCTAGGATAAAAGGTTTTTTGTGATGTACTGTGAACCATGAACAGATTATGGGGGACCTTTAGCTCCTAACATGTTGGAAGAAGTATTTAATACTAGTCCTTTACTTTGTTTCCTAAAACATTTTGACTGGCCTAAGAAGACATATATGTTTTAACATATAATCTTCCACTTGCTTTCTTGCTGTATTACTGTCCTGTGAGTGTGGTTACTGGCTCTCCAGGCACACAGCAATGACATACAGTGTGTTATTACCAAGACACACTGTTCTTCAGAAAGGTGTGCATATACATGTACATATTGCTTAGGATAGGCAGAAGAAACACAGAAATGCAAGTATAAGTTGAAAATTAATCTGTTTTATAAAAGGTATTTCATTAATTATTATGATGAGTAATATTTGCCGTGAATTTTTCCAAAGTTGACGTCCAGTAAAAATCAGAGTTGATAATTGTGTAAATATATGCTTGTACGTTATAAGATTGTAATACTTTTGAATTTTCTTTCTTTGTTATTAAGATATCTGTCATCAGATCCTGGATCTATACTCACAGGGAAAACAGCAAATGCCTCATCATACTCCTCATCAGTTGCAGCAGCCACCATCTCTTCAGTCTACACCCCAGGCACCTACAGTACAGCAGTCACAGCAATCCCAAAGTTCAGAGCAGTCCCAGACACAGCAGCAAAAAGAGTCTCAGCAGTCAGCACAGCAGCAGCAGCAGCAGCAAACACAAGCACAGCAATCTAAAAAGCCCTCTCCCCAGTCAAGTCCTCCTAGACAGATTAAAAGACCAGCAGTAAGTTGAACTTTAACTTGCGATTTATTTTCAGGCTGATCTGATACCCATTTGATTTAAAGGCCACAGAGCAGCAGACTTGTGTTTGCTTTAAGAATGAGCCTTATCATTAATTTTATGTAGTTGATTTTCCTTGGTTTGTGGCAACTTTGTTAATGCTGAACAGCCTTTACAGTTCTGACATGTGACATTCTTACTCCACTTGAGCCAAAAGCCATGGAAAGCCTTTTAAGTCAACATGAGCTGTTCAGGTTCTCAGTGTTTTTATGGTTCTGGGCTATCAAACTTCATTGTTTTCTCTATTAAACAGGTTTAATTTAGGGAGGGGTTCTTGTGCTGCACCTCAGTGTAGGGATGTGCACAATGCCGATGAAGACATTATTTGACTCTTTGATTACTAATATTAAGAGAATAGTGACTTCTAAAGTTATGTCAAAATTCTTGAAAAAAAAGGTATTTTAAAATAATCCTTTAATAGTAGCAGCCTATACATCATCAGGTTTTATAGCCTCACTTTGTCCATAATATCACATCATAATTGAAAATAAGAAGCTACATTAGCAGTTCGATAGTGTCGCAAGTACTCTGAGCATCAAGTTCAAATGAAGCTTTCAGATTTTAATGTATGATAATGTATACACTTTACTTGTAAGTTAAAAAAAAAAAGTGTTACCCAAGTCTTCTTTTGTGTTTACTTAGCAACAGGAGTGTTTTCGGAAGTACAGTCTTTGGAACAAGTCCATTTAGGTTGTAAATTTTGTTCTGACTTTTGCTCCAACTTGCAATTAATGCATGCCCAAACTAGAGAACAGACAGCAGGGGAATAAACAAAAACAACAAACTAAAAAACCAAAACAAAAACTAGGAGTAAGCATAAAATATTGGAATGAAATGGAATTGGAAGAGTGCAGCATCTTCCTCATGGCAGACTCCCAAAAAAGACAAAAATGTAAAACCTTGGTCTTGTAAGTGCAGGATAGAGCTTACTAGAGGAAAAGATCTGCTCTGAAATTTTCAGTTGCTGCACTGAACTTTAGCATTGTTCAGTATAGAAAGGTGATAATATTATTAATTAGCCTGAAAATTGTGGGAGTTCTTTATAGGTATTATGTATTTCTTCTACTTTTTACTTAATACATTTTATGCCATCAGCACAAATTCTGCTTGATTTGTCAGACCTGTAGGATCTCTTACAATTTTTCTTCAACAAAAAAGCTTGGGACAGTTTGGCACATCAGAAACTGTTAATAACAATTTTGGTTTTTCCTGTGTGTGCCATCTAAGTTGTTGGGAGAACAGGATGTGTGGTATTTGAAAAACTTACTTGGCGCTTCTAGAATGTTCTTCAGTTAGATGTGCCATAAACCTTACTTAAAATCTTTGCCTGCTTCTATAAATAGGGCTTTGCATGACTTCTCCTTTGGTTTGTGCAGAACAGAAATAGACTTTGTTCCTGGAGGCCAGATTTTCAATTTACATGAACTCTTACAACTCCCATTGCCTTCTACTGAGCCAAAATGCTTTCAAGCAGCTGAGGCATTGGCCCATGACTTAGAGGCCCGTATCAGGTGTCTAAAGCATCTGCACATCCTCCACATCTCTAGTGGTGAAGAGTGCTTGAATTTTCAGTTGATTTCACTAAAATATACTGGTGAATTATTGGATGTAATTATTTTCATTTGGATTAAACTAGAAATTGTTGGGGGGAACAATTTTATTGCTCATAGAAACAGCAGTAAAGGAACAGTTCTATTGTATAGATTCAGCAGGAGGTATTAAATATCCACCAGCCTGACAGTAGATAATGTTGATAATTTATTATTGTTTATTATGACCGTCAGGTGTTCTGGCTGGGGCAGTACAAACTACAATGCAGTAGAATTGCCAAATAAATGCTCATCTCTATTTTAGCAGCTGCTGTTGTTAGAGAATTGTGGCTGCTTGATTTTTTTTTTTTTCGTTAGCATAAATGCAGTTTAAATTGATGGGGGGTTTTTTCTGTCATGAGTTATTTTGCTCCAGTTTCTTTTTCTTCTGTAATGGTGTACCTTAATGTTGTTTTTTTAATATTGCTCCATATTAACAAATGCACAGTAATTGAATTGCTTGTCACCTGAAGTGATCAACTGACTTCACAAAATGAGTGATTTTTGGAGAAGATCCAACAAGCAGTGATTTGCTTCTATCTGAAAGTGCAGGGAGAGCTGATGCTGTTTTACAGGCATGGAATTTAGTGCTAGAAAGTCAAGAAAAGACCATCCAAGTAAAATGAAGGCAGAAGATGAGTCCATGAGAGTCACTAAGAAAAAATTTTGTGTGTTTGAAATGGTAAGATAAAGATTGTCCTTTAAAAGCAGGAAAGCAGCTGGATGGTGTCTGGAAAATTGAAGTGATTATCAAAGGAATATAAGAATGAGGTTGCCTCAAGCAGGCAAAAATTAGACACAAAAAATTTTGAGCATACCCATAAGAATTAAGAAAAAGTACTGTTCAAATTGGATTGAAGTGTACTGTGGAAAGTGAAACGAAGGAAATAGAACAATTTGTGCAGGTAAAGCTACTAGAGATAAATAGTCCCTTAAAAAACCATTTTCATTGAAAAGACAGAGAAGCTATGTACTGTACCCCTCTGACCTTCATCATTCATTCTAAATATAGTTGTACTTAAAATTTCAGTTAAGTTCTGTGCTTTTCTCAGAAACCATCAAGTAGTCATCTCAGTGGGACTGTGTAATCTGGGAAGATTTTTTTATTCCTTTATCTGTGGCTGTTTCATAAAACTGCAATGAAAGAACAATGAAAGAAGAAAAAACCCAACCAAAAACTTGTGATTGGAAGGATGATGTGAGGGTTTGTGGGTTTTGTTTAGTATGCATACATTTTTTTCCTGGCATAACATTTGGATTTTATACAGTGCTTTCCATCTGAAGGCTTCTGAAATGTTTTATGCTGTGCAACACTTTCACTGCTCTCCTGTCCTGGTAAATAAAGCGTAAGAGCCTGAAGTGATTTTGGCAAAGGTTGAGTGACAGGTCAAGGCAGAATTGGGAACAGAGGCCAAGCCTCTTGTTTTCAGCTCAGTGAGCAGTGAACCGGACCATGACGTATGTGCAGTGGATGATAGATACATTAAATGAGATGTAATACTCAGCAGTGGGAACAGCAGGAAATGCTGCATATAAAATACCTGCTATTTTTCCAGTCTTTTTATTCTGCTAGTTAAGGTGGGCTTCACCAGTGTGATTTGACTTTGTTCGTCTTGCATTTGTCGTAAGAAACTATAGAAGCATTTGGTTGGAAAAGGTCTTAAAGATCATCAACTCCAATCATTAATGCAGCACTGTCAAGTCTACCACTAACCCATGTCCCCAGGTGCCACATCTGCACATCTTTTGAATACCTACAGGGATGGTGACTGACCCACCTCTGTGGGCAGCCTGTTCCAATGCCTGACCACCCTTTCCATGACGAAATTTTACCTCATATCCAATCTAAACCTCCTTTGGCACAACTTGAGGCTAATTCTTCTTGTCCTGTCACTTGTTACCTGGGAGAAGAGACTGACTGAAATGGTCTTATTCTTATCTTTTTTTTTTTCTTTTTTTCAAACAGGCTGTATCTCCAAAAGAAGAAACAAAGGCAGCAGGTAAATATTAATATTCTATTCATGTTGCTTCCATTTTACTGCCTAAACCAGAATAAGTAATTTGCTGACATGCACTTAGTTTGTCTGTTTACAGGCTTGGCAGTTCCAAACTATTTTGATCCTGATAATGTGCCTTAAATATATACAATAATGGTTTTTTAAATGTTCCTAACTACAAAACTTGAAATAAATTGAGTATAGCTGTGCCCAAAGAGTTCCTTAACAGAGTCAATTCAGTAGAAGTCTTGCTAAACTAGTCAGTTCTCAATGTATAACTCCATGCATCATTTGGGAATAGTTCCTCAGCAAGCTGTGAGGCCTTGAAGTGACTGAAGGTACCACGTCATTAAATAGCTGCACTAACAGTCAGTGGTTGGTAATCAGTGATGTTTGTAGTTGGTGGTTGGAATGGCTGCCATAAAAAGGTATTTTGTATCAATAGTGTAGTGAAAGAAATGTATACTCACTGCAGTTATCATACCTGGTTATTTTGTTTATTTGGGGGCTTTCCTTCACTTTCATGGTTTGGAACAAAGTAGTTCAGGATCCTGGGATGTGCTTCTTAAGGAAGCCTGGCATTTATTCCCCTGTAGCTCTGCAGATAGATTCCAGACAGCTGTCTCTTCTCCCTCCTTTCTCCCGTCCAATCACTATTTTGTTTGGTTCATGACACACATTTCCCTAGCCAAGCAAAGGTCATCTTCTGAGAGCTGTTCCAACTATTTACAAGTTCAAGTTTTGGGCTAGAAAGCATACACTTGCTCATCTTCACTTACATACTGTTATTAGGACAGTTTGTCTCTAGTTACAAAGTCACTTGAACTTGTATGTTCTTTTGGAAGACTTGTATGTGATACTTGATGCCACTTAATTTATACAAAAGTGTTGATTTTAGTTTTCTTTAGTAAACATAGCTAGTAAAAAGGATTTCCACTGCACTTTTGCATAGCGTAGTGTGATATGATAATCATTATCACGAGAGCAGAGTTGGAATTTGGAAAACATTGCAGAGCAATAACCAATCACAAACTGACAAATGTTTTTTAGAACCACCGCCACCATCTAAAATTCCTAAAATTGAAACTTCACATCCACCAATACCTCCTGCACATCCGCCTCCAGGTATGCTTTTATTTTCTTCAAAACATTTATTCTTGTTAACTTTCTTGCTTTTCATTCAGGTGGGGGCAGGGGTTTGTTGCCTTGATTAATGTTCTTGGCAAGTAAAAATACAAGGTTGCTAAGCTCTAGAGGGAATTTCATCATAGTAGCACAGGCTTTTCCAGACAGTAAGTAAAAAACTTAGAATGGAAACAAGACTATACTAGGTGGATAATGGCAAAACAAAGCTGCAACAGTTAACGGCCTAGAAGACTAAAACTAATTGTTAATAGCAGGCTAAAAGGGACTTTTTGATCTCAAAAGGATGGTAGATGCCATATTGGTTTACTAGAGCAGCCTTCAGCTGTCCTATAGAAGTTTTCCATGTTATATCTGTCATACAGGAATTCTGCAGGTGTGCAATTTCCAAACAATAATACAGAAAAAAAAAACCCAAACCACCACAGGGAGGATACTTCCTCTGCTGTACCTCAAAAGATGATTTTTTTCTGCCAGGGAACACTAATACTGCACTCGTGCCATATGTTTGCAAAATCAAGTGTACTGTTGGAAAAATGTGCTTCCAGTGCCTTGATGCATTAGCTGTTTTCCAGTGACCCTTAAATAGGACATAAATATTTCACAGCCCGTAGTCCATAATGTAACTGTAAGATGACAGCTTCCAAAGAGAACTAGGAGAGAGAAAAGCAGTGCACTGAAATATAGCAGGACTTCTTTCATTTGTTAAAATCTAATTAAGAATGAAGTTTTTCTAAATACCATGCTCATTATTCCTTCAGTTGTTAAATCTTGAATGCACATCTTGCATCCAGAATGGTTCTGAAAATGAGCAAATGAAGAAATTATTGCCTGCTACAATTTAGGAACTTGAAGTCACTGAAATAATGAGTTAACCACAGCCAGCATGCCTACCTTGTGTGATTTAGTTATGTGGCTTTCCTAAGGGGCAGTTTTGTTGTTAAAATCCTACTTAGGCAGGTAATGGATTTATTTCCCTTGTTACCTGAAATTTTCCTCTTTGTTTATACAAGGATGTAATTGTACAAGTACTGAAACATTATCAAAATAAAGGGCAGCGCTGTGGAAAAGTCAGGTGAAAACAAACAATGCATCTTGTCCAAGTGAACTAGGAGGAGGATTTATCTGAATTCTGTTTAACAGTGACATTGTAGTATGCCACTAGAAATGACTGCCCTGCATGTGTTTCTAAGTAGCTTTTCTTACTGAACAATGTTGTAGATTCTCATATATACAAGCAAGATGTCCCAGACTCTTTTTTGTTGGTCCTTCTAATAATCTCTCTGACCATACAGAGAGGTTGCTATTAGGTTAGTCATCCTAGTGCTATTACTTACTTTATAATGTCTGCATTAAGAGGGGAAAAGAAACAATTCTTATTTAAAAAGAAGACAGCTTAAAGCATGTTCTTTCCAGAAGTGGCTAATTCTGTAAAATGCTGACCTTTTTATGAACTTCTCCAGAGTATCAGGCACTAAGTTCACTGAAATAAATCAGTGGGCAAAGCTGATCAGATTTCATGCCCTTCTTTCTTACCCTTTGGTTTTCTTTTTCTCTGTCTTTGGTAAACATGTTTAGAACTGAGCGTTAGACTTGAGACTTTGGCCTGTGTTCTCAAATAATGTTTCCCAATATGGGAGGCAGGTGAAGTGCAGAGGGTAATCCCAGGCCACCTCCTGGACTACCAAAAAGGTAGAAAGGAGGCCTGAACTAAAGAAGGTGAAAGCACTGAAGTAAAGACTTTTGGTATCATGACTCCTGTGACTTTTTAAATCCACTAGTTGTGATTCCATCCATCCAGTCTGTTAATTCTGCTGATTGTACAACAATATTTAAATTATAAAAAATAGTAATAAGAAAGGTGAATTTAACTTTTAGAATGGGGAAAGCTGACCTTGAAGCTTTAATAGGCAGTTTAGTTGGTTTTTAGTGACCTGAGACAGTCTGACTGGATACCATATGGCATTCAAAGACTTAGAGAATTGAGTTCTCTTTTGCTAATTTAACTGGAGGAAAAATATGAAGTATTCAGAAGCTGTTCTTGCCACTGTCCTTCAAAAAAATAAATTAAATTTTCTTTTCCAGAGCGCAAGCCTCCTTTGACAACAGCAGTTTCAATGGGAGAACCAGAGCAATCTACTACAGTGGACTCAGTAGATATGCCAAAGGTCCAGATTCCTCCTCCTGCTCATCCTGCCCCGGTACATCAACCTCCCCCTCTGCCACATCGTCCCCCACCCCCACCCCCCACCAGTTATATTACAGGGATGTCTACTACAAATTCTTACATGTCAGGGGAGGGTTATCAGAGTCTCCAGTCGATGATGAAAACAGAAGGACCAACATACGGAGCTTTACCACCGGCCTATGGACCACCAGCTCATCTACCGTATCATCCTCATGTCTACCCTCCCAACCCTCCACCACCAGTTCCACCTCCACCCCCTGCTTCTTTCCCCCCACCCAATATTCCACCTCCTACTCCTGGATATCCTCCTCCGCCTACATACAACCCTAATTTCCCACCTCCAAGACTGCCTCCAACTCATGCAGTGCCACCTCATCCACCTCCAGGGCTGGGAATGCCACCAGCTAGTTACCCCCCTCCTACTGTTCCCCCAGGTGGACAGCCACCTGTACCACCTCCAATTCCACCACCTGGTATGCCACCTGTAGCAGGACTTGGACGTGCTACATGGATGAGATAGCATGAGGTAATTTGCACGAATATACCTTTATGTTGATTAGGCAGGAGTAGATAGCCAAAACCTACATTGTAAAGATGAAGAGGAGGGTAATCTGTATAATTTAGATGAAGAAATGAGATTAAATGAAAATTTAGCTGATCTGTTTGCAGTATGGTTTATGGTGAGTTATTTAGGCTTCTAGATTTTAATCAGCTTTGCAGTATCTATTCTAACTTTATACATTTGACTTAAGTTTAAATTGTCTTGACTTATTCCAGCACTGGATTACTTTGTACTAGCAAAACCAGCCATATTGGCTCAATTATATCAGTAAGAAGAAAATTTCCTTCTAGAAATCAGTGCCTATTTTTAAGTATCAAAATAGCCAGATACTATGATATTTGATCTATAATAAGAAACTTCATTTTTAATAGTAAGTAAAACAACATGATGTCAAGCATAAAAGCTGCTTTATTTAAGAGAGATTCTGAATGCTAGCTGACTGGAATAATTTTGAGGTGTTTGCCTTGCTGATAGTTTTGGTTTGGAATGTACTGGTATCTTAAAATATTGTATGTTTACACCTATTTGCAAATTCCTGTACATAATATATATATTTTCTAAGTGTGAAAGTCTGAATGTAACAGCCTACTGTGATGTACATCATAGTTATAAATGGGACTACTTTGTTCACTCTACCCAAATAAAATTGGTTCTGAATTTAGTGGATTTCCAGGTTTTTCATATTAGTTCAGAGGTCATAACTATGGTTACTCCAAGATACTTACTCCAAGGTATTTCAGCAGTGGTCTCCCAAATCTTACTCATCAGTTTTTTTTAAAAAGAATGTATTTTATTTTAGTCAGCTAGAAGTATACACTATCACAATCAATCTCTTACTTCATTTTTACTAAAATATTTCAAAAGAATGTTTTACACACATTATCAAAAAAAACTGTACTATTACTTTCCTTCCCCAAAAAAGCCAGAGTGGTTCAATAATAGGTAAAAACGCGTGCTAAAGTCTAAAGAATTTTGCTATATACACAACAGCAGGTGCTAACTTTTCCAGTTCTTTGTAAATCATATACAGAAAATATAGCAGGGCTGTAAGATCACAGGTTTAACAGAAATCAAACTTTAAACTGATTTCTAAAGCAGCACAAATAGACTTTCCCCACATTATGAAAAATATACAATTTTATCACTTTACAGTCATGCACTTTGAAAAAGATCAGTAGTACTCTTCCCCCCAGTTTCTAGAAAGATAAAAGGTCACTTTAACACTGATTTCATTTAATATCTAATATTTGGATAAAAATGTGCCATTCTCAAACAAGGTTGTGCTCAGCAGTCTTATCAAGGTGCAAAGAGCCAACTGAAGCTGGTTACACTGCAGCATTTCAGGAACTGTTAGGGAAATGCTGCTAACTCCAGTCACTCCAACAAAAGTCAAGGATGTGATTTTACTTTCCTTAAGCAAGCAAAGTCCATTTGTAAACAGTGGATGCTTTTTTTGCCAGAGGATTGCAGAACCCAGAGCTTCAATCTTGAGGAAATTATCTTGGGCTGTTGCCCTAAATATATGAATTTAATGGCCACTATTTCAAGGGATGCTCCCCTCCAATGTCACGTACAAAACTCCTCAGGTAGTTTTCACTGGATACTGAGCGCATAGGTAAGTGAATTTAAATATGCATATAAAAGATCTGTTTAGACAGCTGAAAATTCAGCACCCAAGTCATCCTGTAAAATCATTGAGCATCATTTTCCCCAGGAAGACATTTTATAGCTGAAATGGAATAAGTATGAAGATTGGCAAGCCTAAAAACCTCTAAACAGTAACACCACAAGGTACAGCACTGTCATGTTCTGCAAAATCAGTGATGAACACCTTACACTGAAGATGATAAAAAGGGCAGTACCCTATGAGTATGAAGTTTGTTCAGCTGAACTGCTGGCTACCCTATGAAGTGGCTCTTCAGGATTTGCAGGGCTAATTGACCTCAGTTGCAGCACTTCCTTGTAGGTGAGATCTGCAGGTGGAACAAAACAAGCTTTGCTTGAAGTCAATGAACATATTTTGAGAGAGATTTGAGAGCAGGGAATATTTGTGTGGGAATTACATAGTGGTGAGACTAGTCATCTGATGAGTATAGCTCTTGTCTTGTTGAGAGGACCTGCTAATAGCCTCATATACCTCTTAAATAGCAAGCATGTCATGAACACAGTTAACTCTCTCCAAGTGCTGGCAACATTTGTGTTGCTTTAGTTAAAAATCACTGACAAAAATCAACCTTGTTCCAAATATACTTCAACTCTGCTTAATCCAGCAATCAGATGCCACCAAAGTTAAAATGGGCTAAGCAGATAGATTAAAGTAACCCTCAGTTTGGCCTTAGATGTTAAGGAATAATGATGCTCTGCTTTACATCACCTTTTCTGTTACAGAAATCTCGATGTATAAATTGTACAGGAGGAAGACAAGTAATCACCAATGGTGACTAGAAACTGGAGGTCAAAATAAAAAGCAAAGAGGAGGAAATCCAAAATCCTCTAAAGATGCTTAAAGAGACAAACTCTAGAATGGATTTTTCCAGCCTCCATGGGATGTAAATACTGTTAGACTGAGAGCTATCTAGCTCAGTGTTCACTGACTGAGCAGTAGTAGGAAATAATCTACTGGTGGGTGTGTGAGTGAGAGTATGCACTTGTGTTTTGGGGGTGGTTCTTGGTTGGTTATTTTTAAATAACCTACTCAACTGTTACATTTCTATTTCTGCAATGCATAATGAAGTGGTGCTTACTCTTACTGGTTATTTTGTATTTTGGTTGTATTCCTTCTCTATTTTTTTACTGGCTACAGGTTTCTGGTCTGGCACTGCAAATTCTTCAGCCAGGCAGCTGTAGTTTATTGTACACCACGGGACCAATTACCTTTCATAATTCATAATAAACCACATGGGTTCCTTGGTATTGTATCGGTGCTCCATGTAATACAATACCACAAGTCAAGAACTCAACTGGTAGAACAAATTAATTTAGAGGAAGAACCTGTCCAGCTAATACAGCTATCTGTAGCTGTGACTGATTCTTGTAGGGAACAAAAAGAAAGTAATGGTGTTTGAGGTTACTATGTCCTACAACTAATCACTAAAATTGATGTAACTTTTGAAGAGGAGGCTTTGATCTTTTCACATGCCTGTCTTTAAAATTATTTTACACCAATGAGTTCTAATAACGAAGCCCCGCTTCCTTGGACTCTTGGGAAAGAACATCTAATAAAATACAGGGACAGCTGCTGTGACAACTTGGAAAAGGAGGGAGTCAAATTCTTACAACTACACAGGCAGCTACTTCACAATAGCAATATGTAAGTCCCATTATTTTATATACAACCATTTGAAGAAGCAAAAACCCACTTGTTTTGGTTCATTAACAAAAATAAAGCTAGAATGGCAGGAAGTAGTCTCACCTGACAGCCTGTGATTATGGAGTTTTTATTCAGCTCTGCAAGGTTGTTGTTTGGTTACCTTACACGGGAACCAGTATAGGTGAGGGAACCAGTACAGGTGAGGGATCCAGCAAGAACATTAAAAAAACCCACCCAAATCTTCCTTATGTGAAAGATGAGCTGCTTTTGAAGATCCTGTGAAAGCCATAAGCACTGTCAGGATAGCAGTTTCTGCTGAATTATTTCATAGTGAAAGCTTTACAAGAAAAGTGTTGCCATTTTTTAGGGAATACTGTTGTGTGGCTAAGTGATTTCATTCACATTATGACTGCAGAAATCTTGTGTCATTTGATCATGAAAAATTGTTCATTATCACCTGATATGGAGTCTTAATTACGTGCACTTGTGTGACGAGTACCACCATACAATGTAGGGCAGTACAAGTGTTTTTAGCTTGCCACTCAGTATTTTACACAGAGCCTTGTGAAAACAGTTGCATGTCATTCTTCAAAACAAGGACCTCCAAAAAAACTGTTAGCAGCTCATGAACTTGGCAGGCAGTAAGCCAATGAATTTGACTTGCATTTTCCTTGGCTGCCTGGAGCCACTAACATGGCTATGAATCACAGACAAGCGGGTGGACAGGAGCAATACAAATGGTGACTTCTCCGCAGGTTAAGGGTTCTTCTTGTTCCTCTTAGAAATTCTCTTGAGTTAGTTAATTCTACAAACAGACCATTACAACAAAGCAGGTTTGAACTACAATAAAAATGATGCAAGTCTGGCATTCTTGGATGGTTACCCGGTGAACAGTAGCTCCAGAGCACCACAGCCTGGAAAGCAGGCCTTTAGCTGCCATATTTACACTATTGTTACAAAAAAAAAAAAAAAAAGGAAAAAATGCTGAAAAAAAGAAGAAAAAATGAAACCCTGAAAAACCTCAACCCCAACTCCCAAAGAACAGGCAGCCAGAAACACTGAGCTCTGCCTCTTTAGTCTTCACAGAATCCATCGCTTCCAGTTGCCAGGACGGTGTTCCTACAAGGGACCCTTGAACTGGTTTCCTGACAGATGTTGCCTGATGGAGGGTTTGGAGCTCGCAGCATCACCCAGCTTTCGCCAGACAACCTGCAAGAAAAAAGAAAGAGTTTGGGGAGAGAAAAACAGGAATTAAAATTAAAAAAAAAAAAAAGTTCAAACAGCAAAGCCACTGAGGAATAGCAATATTGTTTTAATTGCAGTCTGAAAGCCAAAAGCAGCCCTTTCCTAGAGCTGGGCTGCAGTTCTCAGCAGGGACACTGGATGGCATCTTTGCACCAGTTTCCAAGGAAAGAAACCATTGATGCATTTTTCTAATTAGTCCCTCTTGAAATTAGAACCGTTTTTGCCTGGGGTAATAGTACAAAACAAATACACTAGATTCAGAACATAAGTTCAATGGTAGGTCAACCCTGCCATGCTTATAGAAAAGATGCTACCATGAACAGAAAAGATAATGAAAAAGATAATGATTAAAATTATATATACATGACTTTCTAAAAACATACATTTTATCACTCTAGGGCCACAATTTAAATAAAAAAATAAACTGCAAAAAACTTATAGCTGCCTTGAATCTACATGAAATGAATATTTAAAGAGAAAACAGCTGATGATAGACAAATAGAGATGAGTCAGTTTGGGAGGATGAAGTTACAGTATTTTACCTTTCCCCCAGCACAGCTACAAGGGAAATTAAGCAGACAAAATATCCTAAAAATCAGGGTTTAATTTACTCTGGTCTTTGCTTTGCTTGTAGGGATCCAGCAACCAAAGAGAAGTGCCTCAGCCCTTGCCAAGGATGCTCACAGTGATTTAGCTTGGCAAGCTGCGCTTCTGTTCACACCCTCTTTTTAGGGTTAAGGTGGGTTTCAGAAATTAAACAGAGCATTATGCCCCTCTCAACTGCTGGAAGGCACTAAATGATGCCACCTGGGCCCACCTCTTAGGTGGAGTTCAAAAAAAGAAGGCCCATAGGCATTCTCCTCCCTGCTCTGAGCAATTGAACAGCACATCTCCAACTGCAGGTGACAGGCGGCTCAGGCTGTGTTCCAGCAGAAATCTCAAACTTTCTGTTCAAAGCCAGAGCATGGCCACGGTGCTTTGAGGCTGGAGGCAATGCTGTGACAGCAGCCACCGCAGAGCAGAGGCTGGGTACGAGCGCTCACCGCACAGCATGTGGCCAGCTCAGTTAACAGTGTGGTTGCCCAAAACATCAGCAGTGTTAAT